CTGCCGGTCGAACACTTGTACCAATACAAATCGCTGTTGTACAAGTCGTGCTTTAGTAACGTGTCAGCCGCGTGCACCTTAATGTCGGCTAGTCCGTGCGGTCGACACCTAGACCGTAACTACGACTTTTGTTGAAAAGATTCGAAATTCACAAGCAAATGGTTCATGTTAATTATGCTAATGATACGGGTACTAAATGCGTCCTGTTTCAGAAAATTAAGACTTTGCATCTAACATCTACACTCAGAATAAATGTCTTCAATAATCAGCTAGACTCGGACTCGGATCATTTTGTAAAAGGCTGGGTTATTTGATTTCAAATTATCAACCTGATCATGGATATAATGCCTTACTCAGATATTCAGAGCATGTTTCGAGATGTAACTGCCTCGTTTTTGTCATAATCATCTTTCTGACTTAGAAAAACTATTCTTGCACCTGAACTGTCACAGAAATTACTTAGTCACCGTTTTTGACCTCTAATCGCTTTTTCACCTATTTCACGGGCACTACGGATTAATATCAAAACGTAGAATTCGCTTAAATAAACATACTTTATTTTTCTGCACACGATCAAATTGGCGTAATACAATAAAACTGTAGACTCAAGATGAGATTTTCGCAATTTTCCACATAACAAATGATGATGTCACGGCTGGGTACAAAGCACATTGGGCACAATTTGTACAGACAACGAAATGAATAATAAACGTTGCAAGAACACATGAAAATAATAAAAAAGACTACGAAAGCGAGAGCATTAGTACCCAGGAGCAGTTCTTGGAGGTGGACAATGATCACATCCACCAGCTGGTCCGGCGGGACCGTCAGGTCCTGGTGGACCATCTTTTCCGGGTGCTCCTGCTGGACCCGGTGCTCCAGGATCGCCAGCATCTCCTGGAGAACCGTCTGGGCCGGGTTCTCCATTTCTTCCAGGGGCACCTGAAGTTTGTTTATGTTCTGTGTCACAGCCACAAGAAAAATATTACCCTCTGCTCCAGGAGGTCCCGGAGGCCCGGGTGGTCCCGGCGGCCCGTCAGGTCCTGCAACTTCGTTGAGCTTTCCGGGTGGTCCCTTAGGACCAGGTAATCCTGGTTGGCCTGGTTCTCCAGCAGGTCCAATAGGTCCAACTGGCCCAGGCGGTCCGCGATTTCCATCAGCTCC